TACCTATAGTCCAGACAGACTTTGGGCTCTAATGACCTTGTTGGAGTAATTGCTGAATCATTATTTTATGGGATAGTTTTTAGTTCTGTTTTATCCCATGCTCTAGGAATTTAAAACATTTGTAGACTTTATTTTTTTAACGCAGCTTTATATTTACAGAAAAATTGAAATAGTAAAGGAGGTTCCTTATAATTCCCCCACCCATGATCAATATTTCTCATATTAACATTTTACTTTAGCATGGTACATTTGTATAATTAATGAAGCAGTCTTAACACATTATTATTAGCTTATTATTAGTTGTATCATCTGTTCAGATTTCCTTAGTTTCTGCCTAGTGTTAATTTTCTGTTCCTGGGTCCCTTTCACATACCATGCTATATTTAATTGTCCTGTCTCCTTGGATTCCTATTGTCTGGAAATTTCTCTTTGTACTTAATTCAGGATTTCCAGGTACCTTTGGAGCAATTTGGTTTTGATATATCCAGGATCAGGGACTTTCCATCTTCTGCCGTAATCGAAACCCTTTTGAGAAAGCAGTTCTAGTACTTCTGACTTTGAAGAGTTGAGACCAGTCGATGTTCTCTGTTCTTCAAAATGGAGTGCATTATATAAAGAGGAAGTTCTCTTACTCTTGAAATCGTGTTCTCTGCTCTTAGATTTCTCTTTGAGATTGCAGCATAACGAGGAAGTTCTTCCCAGACTTTCTCTTAAATCTGTTTGCATATCCATCAGTGTGATAGCTGGGCAAATACTTGAAATAATACTCTCGCTTTACTTCCATGTTGCTGACTTTCTTTACATAAACATTTCCAAATTTAGAGCCAAAGGCAGTATCCCGTGATTTAGTACTCCAGAGTGCTGTGGAGTTCCAGATTTTAGAGTGTCTGCTTTGAGATAGACTCCCATAAACTGTGTAGTTACAGTAGGTAGTTCTGGATGCTACTTTTTCTGTTGCCTTTGCTTTAATAAGGCTTCGAGGGTGATATGAATGCCAAACTGACTTCATTGAGTTAAAGTTCCAGGGGACAGTAGATGAGAAAAGAAAAGAATATTGGATCTCAGTACTTGGGTACCTGTAGATAGAATTGGCTTAAAATAAATAATGTGAAGTTGCTTAAATGGTTAATTCTTGATTATTAACAACTTGTAAATCTTAACTGTATCGTATATTTTCATCCTGTGTCATTCTTTTCAAAAACAACTTCATAGATACCACCTTAGTGAAAATATTGGTGTAGAGGGGCGGTAATGTGGTTAATAAACTTTTCTCTTTAAGGGATGAGTTTACATATCAAAGAATCTGTGACAGAGATGGTTTCATTCATTTATTTAAATATACATATTGTATTGTTGAATGCCTTCTTTAGCAGTGTAGACCTTGTCAAACATTAAAGGACCATTGGTTTATCCAAATTACTAACTCTTTGCCGGTAACATTGAACACTTACCATGTGCCAGGGTATGAATTTCTTAGATTGATGTTCTGTCCACGTTGAATGAATGAGTGGGTTAAAGTTTTCCTTCCTCCATTGCGATGCATGCCTATTCCTCTTGAAAGTGCTCCCCAATTCCTGTTTAGATTGTCTTAACACAGCCTTGACCATGACCCTTCTGTTAATTAAAATTTAGTTTCTCTCTGTAGAATAGGGAAACCCCAGAAAATAATGACTTGAAATTGAAGTCTAGTTTTCTTCACATAAAAGAACTTGTAGGCAGGCAATGAAGTGGTGGAATTGAGGCTTCATGGAGTCATGGGGGCCCCAGCCTCCATCATCAGACTGTTGCTCTTTTGATGATCACAGGTGGCTGCTAAAATTGTATTCAGCGATTCTTCAATCCTTGATCCAGAAGGCAGGATGGGAGAAAAGAAGCAGAGGATAGAGCCACCTCCATTTTTTTTAAAGTGTACTTATTTTGAAAGAGACAGAGAGAGTAAATGGGGGAGGGGCGAGGGGGGGCAGAGGATCTGAAGCAGGCTCCAGGCCCTAACAACAGAGGGCCCGATGCGGGGAGCTGCATGATCATGACCTGAGCCCAAGTCAGATGCTTAACTGACTGAGCCACCCAGGCACACCGAGCCACCTCTATTTTGAGGAGACTCCCTATAAGTAACTTACAAAGGTCTACTTTACATCTCTTTGGCCCGACTTAATCTTAACACCACACTTTGTTACAAAGGAATCCAGGATATGTAGTTTTTCACCTGGACAGTAATGTGCCCAGTAAAACCAAAAAGAGCAAAACAAAACAAAGCCCAATAATGAAACCAAATGAAAACACCCTTCAGGATTCTGTTTTTAAAGAAGAGAAAGAACATCCTGAGGCAGTTACTGGTTTCAGCCACACTCATTCATGGTCGTGCCTCCCACAGGAGCATCCTAGATTCCCTTTCCCTCCTGACAAGCGATTTGGCCAATTCTCAAACCACATGTCATCATTGTGTATCATCTGGCTTATGCCTACTCTTGTTCTCCCTCTGCAGAATCAGTGGGAGAAAAGCCCTGAAATTATACATGTATCTGATATCCTCTATTTACTAATTAACCCCAAATGAATTTGTAGTCTTAAAATTGTGGACCATCAGCTCCTGTAGTCCATTTCTTACAGCAGTTGTTTTAAAATTGTTCACGTTCTGCACTGCTTCCATATTCTCGCTTTTGTTTTCATTCACGTATAAGCAAATGCACCATTTTCCACCTCTGCCTCCAATTTGTGTGTCTCTCCATGTCCTCACGTACCTCGATCTCAATACCTGTTTTCATCAGTAGGATGCAAGGCTGAGGAGCGCCGGACACCCGCTTCTCCTGCTCACTGCGGACTCAGCAGGGCCTGGACGGGAGTGCTTTGTGCTCTATACGTGCCTGCTCAAGGAAGGAAGGAAGCCTTTCCCTTCTTGCTCTCACATCTCTCCTCTTTAGAATATAAGATGGTTTTTGGGTTTGAAGAACTTTCTCTTGATTTCGCTGCCATTTCCCCATATTCCTCATAGTTCACTTTTTATTTATTTATTTATTTATTTTAAGAAGAGGCATCTTTCCTCCTGATTTACTAACTCCGTGTCTCTTCACTGTCTCGAGGCTCCCTCTGTGACTTCTCAGACTTTGCTTTGAGATTTTCCCTCCTCATTGGCTTCTGCTGGTTCTCCAGTCTCTGTGACATCTCAGTCGCATGCTGCGTTTTTGACAGCACCTTCTCGGACATCCTCTCTTCGCTCTTGTACCTTTCTGACTTTTCTTTCTGCATTTCCTTTGTTGATGTCTTTCAGCTCTGCGGTGGTGAGCCAAACAGCAGGATTTTGCTTCCATCCTTTGTTCTTTTCTCTCCATGCTTTCTCTGCAGTGTCCCAGCTGCTCGGCTGCTCTTTGACCTTAGCTCTTATCTCTGGGTGCGTGATTACCAAATATACACACATTGCTTTTACTACTTGTTTTGCATCCTATTAAATACTTCCCGTGTGCCTCAACTTAAACCCCTCTGTCGACTTAAACAGGATTTCGGAAATTTGGGATGCCAGTGGTAATGTCTTGGGTTCCTGCCGTCTGGGCATTGCTTCTGAAACTCTGCACGGAAGTAACCCTCATGGCAAAGGATAGCAGTTTCCTGTGTGTTGTTTTCCTTGTCTGGAATGCCCTTTCCTTTATTCCTCCCAGCTTCTTTTCTCCTTTTAAGATCAAGTTTGGAAATGTGCATTTCACAAAGATTTCTAGGGTGACACCAGACCTTATTGATTTTCTGGGCTTTGAACTCCCTCCATACTCATTTATCTATTACCAGGCACTCCTCATAAACTTGTGTCATATTGTATTGTAGAATAAATCCTCTTTATTATAAATGTTTTATCTCACGGATACTCTGTAATCTTAGTCCGCTTTGTGTTCCCAGTGCCTGGTGTGTAATCACTTAATAATGTGTGCCGTGGATGATGGCATCCCCTTTTCATTTCCTTATCTTGTTCCACTTCTAACACTGAGGTGGCTTAAAAAATTAATTCTTCTTATCACCAAACAAACATTTCTCTTTCATAAAAATGAAATGGAGCACTTGGACCGAGCTGAATGACAGGTCTTCGACAGCCCGATCACATTTTGCTTTGCACTATTTTTAGTACGTTTCAAAAGGCTTGGGATGACTGGTGGAGAAGTAACATTCCTCTGTGTTTTCAAGTGTCTTCATCTTTTGAGTGTCATCTAAAAACTTGAAATAAAAGAGTCCTGAAAAGAGCTATTGAATTCTCTGCAGACACATGCAGAGTTTGGGGAGGAGAGAGGCATAGTGGGGAAGAGAATATCAATAAATACAAATGAATGTGAGGACACACATTGCCCAGGCACATCCCCACCTGGAAACTACTGTCAGGAGGATGCTGGACCAGCCGGGTAGAAAAGTAGTTGTGTCAAAGGCGTGATATCTCATGAGGATGTCATTTTAAGAGTCTTTTTCCCCCTCACCCCCTACAAAAAGAAACCTACCCAATTGTTTTTACGATAAATTGTTTTTATAATCGAGTTCTAGGCAATATAGTAATGTGGTAGACATTGAATGAAGTAGATCTAGTTGAACATATAGTGTCTTTTAAAATTAGAGTATAAGAAATTAGCTGTGTCCTAAATTCAGCTCTGTGTAGACTGAAAGTCTGGATTCGTTGGGGCAACTAGGTGGCTCATTCAGTTAAGCATCCAGCTCTTGGTTTTTGCTCAGGTCATGATCTCATGGTTTGTGAGATGGAACCCCCTCCAGTGGGGTCTGTGTTGACAGCACAGAACCTGCTTGGGATACTGTCTCCCTCTCTTTCTCTGTCACTTTCTCTCTCTCTCTCTCTCTCTCTCTCTCTCTCTGTGTGTGTGTGTGTGTGTGTGTGTCTCTGTCTCTAAATAAGTATTAAAAAAAAAAAAAAAAAAGAAAGTCTGGATTAGTAGAGTGTAATTCCAGACTCAAATGAGAGGAACAAAGGATTTTACCTACTTATTTCTTTCTTGCTTCCCCCCCCCCCCCCACAGGGAAGTTGAAATACTGCCTTGTGGTTCTGAATCAGCCTCTGGACAAATGCGTTCGTCATCTTTGGAGCAAAGGTAATTTCCGTTAGCGTTCATGTTTCTTTACTTTCTTAACTTCTTCGAGGACAAACATGACTATTAAATATTCTGTAATATTTAATATTCTAATTATTCCAAAAAGTGTAATTCCTAGCAGAGTGCTTTAGTTATTGAATTACCAGAATAAATCTTTTCTTAACCAGTTTCCACACATGGCTTCTGCAGCATGGATCCCCATGGACAGAGTTAAAACGTAACATCATTATAATGCATTTCTGATCCACCACGTGGGTGTTAATCCTGAGAACTTCCCAAGTGTTTGTTGACACGTGAATAGTTTTGGCACCAGGGACAGGAAAAAGCAGCCTCAAGCCTCACTCATCCTAGCATCCAATAGTAAGATGTCTGCAGGGTAACCAGATTTGCAAAATTAAAAAAAAAAAAAAAAAAAAAAAGACATGTTAACCACATATTAGAATCTTTAGGGAATGCTGAAAAATAGGAGCATGCAGTAGTTTTACAGAATTCATGCTACTATGAGTGTTCATTTAAAAAACAGGCTTTATTAACTAATTTTTTTAACATTATTCTTTCATTTATATAGGATTAACCCTAGGCTAGAAAATAGTGTTAAATACCATTTGGTGTTTTGAACCTGTGCTTTTCCATGAAATCTTGACTTTTTTTCCCCAAAGGGATACTTCTGCTAAGGTTACCAATGTAAGTTAGAGGCCAGATTAGGTAGACAGAGCCTCGTGATTATTGATATGCTGACGCGTATTCCAGGTGACTCTCTCTAATCACCAAATTCTCTACTGTTCTCAGCATCCAGCTCTCACGTCTTGGAATGCAAACCTTTAGATCAGTAAGCTCGCATGTGCGGGCAATGATCTTTGTGACACTAGAGGGAAAAGATCATTGTGGATGATTTTGTGTAAGGAATTTTTATTGTCCTATGTGATTGGTATGAAAATTCTTTATTCTGAATTTACTTATCTTTATGTGAGCCAACTGAAAGTGTCACATTGTTATTGTGCCAACATTGCCCTGAAAGCTGGCAGGTTATATAACCAGTAGCTTCACTTGCATAGCACTTCTCACTTGGGTGTCATTAGGTAGTTACTCAGGGGCTATAAAAAAAGGAAAGGTCTTTTTTTTGGGGGGAGGGAGGGGTCACTTCAGTGCCTAGGGCTGTGTCTGGCACATAATTGCTTAGTAATTATAACAAATGAAAGAGTGAATTTGAGGAGTGCCTGGGTGGCTCGGTTAAGTGTCTGACTCTTTTTTTTTTTTTTAATGTTTTTATTTATTTCTAGGAGAGAGAGAAAGAGAGAGACAGCATGAGCAGGGGAGGTTCAGAGAGAGAGGGAGTCACAGACTGAAACAGGCTCCAGGCTCTGAGCTGGCAGTCAGCACAGAGCCCGACGCAGGGCCCGAACCCACGAACCATGAGATCATGACCTAAGCGAAAGTCGGACGCTTAACCAACTAAGCCACCCAGGCGCCCAAGCGTCTGACTCTTAATTTCAGCTCAGGTAATGATCTCACAGTGATTTGTGAGATTAAGGCCCGCATAGGGCTCTGCACTGACAGTGTGGAGCCTGCTTGGGATTCTCTCTCTTCATCTCTCTCTGCCCCTCGCCTGCTCGTGCTCAGTTTTGCATGTACTGTCTCTCTCTTTCAAAATAGATAAACATTTTTTAAAAAGTAAACTTCATATGATTCATACTGCTAATAAATACCAAAGTAAACTGATTAGGCATATCCTTTTTATCTGAACTTATTATCAGATCTCATATTTTTAGGATAGTGTGTGAACAGCTATGTTTTACTGCATGTATTAAAAACAGATGAAACAGTCATTGATAGGAACTGCTGGAAACCTTAGGTAAGGAAAACTACATCATAGGAAGTCTCATAGTTCAGAGAAGTTAAGGGTCCTATTTTGTCCATAGTGTAAAATGATGTAGACTGTTGAGGTTAGCGAAGTTTCTAACTGCATTAGTTTTTCTGCAGTGAATTTGATGTGGTTTTGGAATGATGGTGGGATATTGGTAGTGGGTGGGGGGTAGAGGGCGGAACTGGAGCTGATAGCCCAAGAAAGAATTCTTGAGACATCTTTGGTGCAGAAAGGTGTTTTCATTAAAGCACAGGGACAGGACCCCCCTGTGCAGCAAGAGCTGCCCCAGGATTGTGAGAACTCGGTGACTGATTATATCCTTGGAGTTGGGGGAGGTAGAGGCAAGGGGAAGTTTCCAAAAGGATTTTCCTATGCTGAAGAAGACTCACAGGATCCCGGAGGCCTAGCTATCATCAGGCTAAGGTGGTTTTTCCCTCTAGCAAAGCATTAACAGTAAGGCAGTAGGGAGGTCCTGGAGGAATGTTATTCTCTGCCTGCCTCAAAGCATTTGTCAATGGGCTGCAGGTTATAAAGAAATTTAATTTTATCTGCCATTTCCTTCTGCCTTTGTTTCCCATGTCATTTCCCCTTGAACAGTTTTGATCCTTAAATCTTTAAGGTTGCTGAGAGTGGAAGATCTTCCCATCTGTAACTTCTTTGTGTTGAATAGGGGCATAGAGGTGTCCCTACCTATGCGTCAACATTGGTCAGGTCGGGGGATTTATGTACAGGAGTTGCAAAGACAGAGACAGCCAGTCCAAGGGAGAAAACCTCTGTGAACCTTCTTGAGTAGAAAGGGTCATCTGTCAGCCAGAAGTTGTGGCAGTGGAGGAGCCTTTGCACTAGGCAGGGAGACACTGGAAAAGACCATAAAATAAGGTTAATATTATGAGAAAGAGAATGCTAAATAAAAGACCCTTAATAGTTAATCAGGATTCTCATTCTGTTCTTCATTGTCCTTTGAAGAGAAATTTGAGATCTTCCACAGGTACACAGGAGTAAGAAGGCATGTCAAGCTGACATACTAGTCTCTTATGAGGACGGTTCTGGTTTAATTCTTGATATATGAATCGATGAGGAATGTCCTCCTAATTTTACTGTAGTGGGAGTGCATAACATGGCCTGGTAGGAGCTTTTCCATTTAGGAGTTAAATCCCTTGCTGCATTAGATTTCTAATCCTTTAAATAAACCAGGTCTTCTGGGTTTACATGGGGTGAGTTGCTAGTAACTGTCAGATCAGATTTAGGGAGGATATGGCTTGCATCTTCATTTAGAGATTTATGAATTAAGCTGACCTAATTTAACAGAGCATTCCTTATCCATTTATTGATAGATCTGCAGTAAGAAAAGGCTTTTGGGAAGAAGATTTGAAACCTTAGTTTGGAGAGTCATACCAAATAAAGACGAATTTGTTTGTAAAACAAGTCTAATTTTCACAAACTTGGCCAAATTATTTACATAAACTCAGCAAGAGAAGTGATAGATCATATAGATCTTTTAAAAATTTGCTTTGCTGGAGCTTTTTCATAAGGAACGTCTAGATTGAACTTGCAGTAAAGCCTGTCCAGGCCTGGAGCCAAGTGCTTGCCATCAGGCATGCCTCTAGTATCTGTAAGTTTGGATGAATTCCTCTTCTCAGGGTCCCCAAAGTATCCTGAGGTTCCTGCGCCTGCCAGGAAGTGATATTCTTTACTCACCTGGGGGAACTCTGCAAGCAAGTTACAGGCCAGCAGTTCCAATAGGCTGCGTGTTTCAGAAAGTCATCCTCAGCTCCTTAAGGCTGCCTGGTCATGTCTGAGTCTATACTGAGTCTATGCTCCATGCTGTCAGCAGAGCCTGATGCGAGGCTTGAGCCCACGAACCATGAGATTGTGATCTGAGCAGAAGTCGGATGCTCAATCAGCTGAGCCACCCAGGTGCTCCTGTATATCATGGGTATCTTAAGAGAAAGTTTCCTTAATATGGAAGAGCAAACATTAGAGAACCAGCAGTATTTCAAACAAGAGTCACAAAAAGTATAAATGACAAAAAGACTCAAAAATGGACGCAGTTAAAGATCTGATGAGAGATTAAAATATAGCTGGTAAGAAATCCAGTTATTTGTGACACATACAGTAATTACAATATCACTTGATGGATAATAAAATAAATATATTTTATATTTAATATTTAAATATATTAAAACCTTAGGAATTGCATATAATCCCCAGAATAGTCACAGCATTTACTCAAACGTAACCAAAGATTTATCGTTATTTCACCGTGCTTTCAGAGTAACTTAACATACTAAATAAAAAGGACTACCTGGTCAAAAAGACTTCATTACAATTTAATAAGATTACAGTTTAAATCTTGGGAAGTCTGTTTAAAACCTCAGAAAGTTATTTATAATGCACAAAGCAAGTTTACCATCAGACCCAGATATCTTTAGTTTCTCTGCAGTAGGTCAGAAACACAAACCAACATTCAGTAATCAATGCCTTAATATTTTATCTCATTTGGAAAAGACTTAGATGTCCATTGGATTCAATTCCAGATTGTCATCCAAGCAAAACTTTAAATTTTCAGATTACCAAAAACTTCGAAAGCTGTCTTAACGATTACCCATGAAAACTTTTGAGACTGAATTAACCATCATTTTAAGTCACCTTTTTGCTAACAAATTGCAAAAGGGATAATGGCTCATTTGGCCATCAGCAAATGTAGATAGAATAAAAAGTTTAATATATTTAATGCTGATAGCTCTATTTTTCATTAAACCAACAAACATAAATACCAAATTACGTTCCACTTGGGTCCACTTAATAGACAACTAATTTGTTCCCCTTTGTTGGTTTTTATCTACGGCGCCGGTGGGGAAATCTGAAGTGGACAGTCCCAAGTAGGGTGCTCTTTGCTCCTGACATTGAGGGTCAGAGGAAGAGCCAGTGGTGCCTGAGGCACTGAGGGTGGTGTAGAAACCAGTTATACAGGCCATTCCCAAGGTGGTGTGGAAACAGGAAGAGGAGGAGGGGTAGGCAGAAGAGGTGAGGTGCCACCAGAAGTCCGAGAAAGAGGATTTCTGGTTCTAAACCTTGTTAGCTCAGACAGATGACCATGTTTTGTTTTTTTTCCACCAAAGTGGAATTAGGCCGT